CTCCCACGAAGGTACGGCCGGCGCTGCCCGGGCCGCGCGCTTTTTGGGGACGATTCCAACCGAATTGGACAACTGAGGCTCCTGGTGTTGAAACGCTGGGTGGCCAGGAGAGGGCTCTGGGCAGAAAATGCAGCCCGCAGGACCTTGCCGTTACACAAGAGCTTGCTTTTACGCAAGATGCGGCCGGGGTTTCGCCAGCGGCGCCGTGCATTTTGCCCCTGAATGCACTAAATGCACTGGGTGTTTTCCTGATTGCACCATGCATTTCCCTAAATCCATGGAAGAATCTGGTGGTGCTTCTCCCGAGCTGCACTGTGCCTTTCCCCAGGAGCACCGTGTGTGCTGCTGAGCGCACCGTGCATTTCCCTGGTTGCATCATGCATCGGATGCCCCGAAATGCACCACGCACCAGCCTTTGCACGAATGGCGCAGTGCGAGTTCGTTAATGGCCCCAGGCGCTTTGCTGATTGCTCTGTGCATTCCCCCTGCTGCACGGTGCATTTAATTTATTGCACCGTTCATGGCACTAATTGCAATTCCATGGTTACTCTGGGAGTGTTATTTGTGGCGCTGGGTGTCTTGAGAATTGCGCAATGTATTTATTTATTGGCGGTCCAATAAATGCGCCCTGCATCTCATCAGTCACACGAGGCATTTTAACAGTTTCTCCGTGCATTTTGCTAATTGCAGGGTGCACTGCGTTAATTGCCCGGGGAATTTCACTGAATGTAGCGTGTGTTTGCTTGCCCTGAGCATGTCACTGATTGCGCCGGGCAGGGCACTGATTGCATCGGGTGTTTCACTCATGCATGAGCCTTTTCACCGATTGCTCCAGGCATGTCACTGGTTATGTCAGGCATTTTACTCATCGCACCAGCAATGTCACTGCTTGCATTGGCCATTTCATCTATTGCCCTGTGCATTGCAGTAATTGCACCGGGCATTGCATTTATTGCACCACTTTTTATAGCTTTGCACTTAGTGCCTTGTGCATTGCACTTCCTGCTCCAGGCGTCTCACTTACTGCACTGTGCATTGCACTTACAGCTCCAAGCATTTCATGTATTTCACCAAGCATTGCACTTACTGCACTGAGCATTGCACTGAGCATTGCATTTATTACACTGGATATTTCATTTATTACACTGGATATTTCATTTATCACACCGGGCATTTTACTTACTGCACTGAACCTTTTACTTACTGCACCGTACATTGCACTTTACTGCACTGGGACTTTCATTTATTGCCCTGGGCGTTGCATTATTGCACTGGGTGCTTCACCAGTTGCATCCAGCATTGCACGAATGCACTGTGCATTGCCCTGCCTGCATTGTGCATTGCAGTTCCTAGACTGGATATTTCATTTATAGTGCTGGGCATTTCACTTATTGCACCAAACCTTTTATTTATCGCACTGTGCATTGCACTTTAATGCACCAGGCACTGTGTTTATTGCCCTGGGCACTGCATTCTTGCACTGGGCGTTCCACCAGTTGCACCGCGTCTTTCACCACTTGCACGCGGCATCGCACCGGCTCGCTGTGCATTGCACTGATTGCACCAGGCATTTCACTTTGCATTGCCCGTATTGCACTGTGCATCGCAGTTGATTGCACTGGGTATTTAATTTATTGTGCTGGGCATTGCACTTGTGCACCAAGCCTTTTATCTATTGCCCTGTGCATTGCATTATTGCACCGGGTGCTGCACCAGTTCCACCGGTAGTGTCACCAGTTGCACCTAGCGCTGCACTAATGCACCGTGCGTTGCAGTTATTGCCCTGGGTATTTCATTTATTGTGTGGGGCGTTTAACTTTTGCACCGAGCCTTTTCTTTATTGCCCTGGGCATTGCACACACTGCCCTGCTCCTTGCATCATTGCACCGGGACGTTCACCAGCTGCGCCCAGCGTCGCGCTAACGCGCCGTGCTTCGCACTGGTTGCAGCGGGCGCCGCAGGCGTTGCAGGGGGTAGCCCCGCTAACCCCCCGTCCCCGTGCATCTGCACCCGGTGCAGGGCTGC